AGCTACAACACAAAACATGTAAAATAAATTAATATATTACTATTTCTATCTCAAGTCTTTTGTGTTCTTTATTAATTATACTATATTGTTGAAATTTATATATATTAGGAGAAAATATATTTCATAAAACATTGGAGTATTTTTATTTTTATTAAAGATTGATTTTTCGCATCTACGTATCGTAGATAGCTAGTTTGCAGGCGTGTGTAATTGCTGCAACAATATTTTGTAATGTACAGATATTATATATAATTATATTATAACATTTGTGTATAACAATGTGTAATATCGATACATTAACACACATCAGCAGCAGAAATGTTTAAGAACATTTGGTCTTCTCGATTATCTATATTGACTTGCATTAGAACGACATTCGATGATTGCGCTCTATGCTGCGAAGGATGAGAGGAAATCGGTAACTACTTTCTTCAATTTTGCGTCTGATGCTTCACTAATTACATTTTCTTTTGCAATGGTAGCAAGAAGATCTTGTTGAGTAGACCTACCAATAAATACCATATATATTAAAACATGCATTAATTTTATATTGTGTGTGCATGCGTGCATGTGTTATAAAAATCATATTTAACACATACCTAATATGTGCAAGGAATTCTTTTTCAAAACTAGTAATTTTTGTAGGATCCATCTTGTCAAGATAACCACGTACACCACAATATATAACTGCCACCTGCTCCTCAATAGCCATAGGTACTGAAAAAAAAATGTTAGATGTGAATCATTCATAATTATTTCTCGATAAAAAGTTTAAATAAAAATTTTACCATATTGTCCCTGTTTTAGAAGTTCTGTTAATCTAACGCCACGGTTTAGCAATTGTTGTGTCGCGGCATCCAAATCTGAACCGAACTGAGCGAAAGCAGCTACTTCACGATATTGAGCCAATTCCAATTTCATAGAGCCGGCAACCTATATAGTATTAAGTAAATCTTTTGTAACATATACAAAAACATTCATTAACAGCACTTATTCATCAAGTATATCGAGTATTCGTGATACCTGCTTCATAGCTTTGGTTTGAGCAGCAGATCCCACCCGTGATACAGATAAACCTACATTGATAGCAGGTCGGATACCTTTGTAGAACAATTCGGTTTCCAAAAAGATTTGACCGTCAGTAATAGAAATGACATTGGTAGGGATATAAGCAGACACATCACCAGCTTGCGTTTCAATAACAGGCAAAGCGGTCAACGATCCACCACCCAAATTTTCATTCATTTTCGCAGCTCTTTCGAGTAGACGAGAATGGAGATAAAATACATCGCCAGGATAAGCCTCACGACCTGGTGGTCTTCTAAGCAGCAAGGACATTTGTCGATAGGCAACGGCTTGCTTAGACAAGTCATCATAAATAATTAAAGCGTGTTTTCCATTATCTCTGGAAAATAATAAAACCTATGTGAATTTGCAACAATAAATTTGATATATCGACATATACTAATTTTAGATGATACATTTTATCTACATATTAATGTAGATAAAAAAAAATAGCTAATATAAAATATGATTGTCTTAAATATGTACCTGAAGAATTCTCCCATGGCGCATCCGGAGTACGGAGCCAAATATTGAAGGGGAGCAGCATCGGAGGCAGTGGCAGATACAATAATAGTATAATTGATAGCACCGCTATCTGTCAAACGCTTTACAATTTGCGCAACAGTAGATCTTTTCTGACCAATAGCAACATAAATGCAGTATAATTTTTTCTTCTCTTCTCCACCATCATTGAAACGTTTTTGATTGATGATTGTATCAATAGCAAGAGCAGTTTTTCCAGTTTGCCTGTCGCCAATAATCAATTCACGCTGACCACGACCAATGGGCACCAAAGAATCAACAGCTTAATTCCAGTTTGCATAGGTTCTCTGACTGACACTCTATTGTTCAAAAAAGATTATGTAATATTGTGTGTATTGAATGTACATTCAAGTCATTTATAGTGCATTTTTCAAAAAAAAATCACATATAAATAATACATATAATTACCTGGGGATAATACCTGGAGCTTTTGTTCCGATACGGAATCTTAATTTGCTGTTCAAAGGTCCCTTGCCATCAATAGGATTACCCAAGGCATCAACAACACGACCTAACAGGTCTTCGCCAACAGGAACATCAACAATGGCACCAGTACGTTTGACGATATCACCCTCCTTGATGTGTCTGTCATTACCAAATACGACAACACCCACATTATCAGGTTCCAAATTTAATGCCATACCCTTCAAACCTGAGCTAAATTCTACCATCTCATCAGCTTGAATGTTTTTCAACCCATACACACGTGCGATACCATCTCCAATGCTGAGTACCCTGCCTGTCTCTTCGAGATTGGCCTAAAATATAAATTCTATTTTGGAACATTTGTTTTTAAAGTAATCTTTTGCGTAATATAAAAATATATATTCAAAGTAATCTTTTGCATAAATATATAGAAATATATATGCAAAATTAATAAAAATAAAACGTTTCAAAATGTATGTCGTAATATCAAATGACTCAAATATCAATATCGCTATCTTTGGATCAGGTTGGTTTACCTTAGGTGCTTGTCCAAGAATGCGTTCTTCCAAAATGGCAGAAATTTCTGCCGAGCGACGGCTGCAAGAGACATGATATTTGCGAGAGGCTATAGCAGTTGCAGGCCAGTTGATCTAAAGTATGAAAATATGTATGTATGATGTGTATATATATATATATATATATATATGTGTATATGGTGTGTGTGTGTGTACACACATGATCATTCCGCCGAAATTGTTATTACATAACTTGATGCTTTAACACACTTTACATAACGCACTACATATCATCAACATTTCAATATCGTATGAACATTAATCGATTTATAAATGAGAACATTCGCTTTAGCTCTTCTCTTCGATTTTGGCGATTAAAAGCGACAAGTAGGATAAAAAGAAATGTAGACTTCGGCAAAGTGGAAAATATCGACACGTTCCGCCAGGCGTGCCAGGCTCGATGGCCGAATGTATATGCGTTTAACGAAAAGAATTCCTTCTATTTACCTGGGCTGTGGTATTTGGCAGATGCCTGGCCAAGGATGAGGCCAAACGCAAGGATAGAAGTGCCATTTTTCAGCGACCGGGCTACAAATAAAATGACGACGTGAAACAGATCGAGGGTCGAGGGACGTATCACGAATCAAAGAACCGTCCTCCGTACTCGTCGATTCTTGCCCATCCCCCTTCTCCTCTGTCCACCCTTCGCAAGAATGAATTCCGTCATGCGCAGAAAATCGACAGACATCGATTCACCTTCGTGACTGTTCGTAATTTCGCGTTTGATACACTAATCGAATGTTCCGATTCGCAGGTCGGTAATCTGAATTTAAGCCTTACGCATCGTAAAAATGGAAAGTACTATTTTTTGTGTGCATCTCAAAGTTAATTCTTGCTCGAGTCGCTTAACATGGTTGACAATAAGAATGAACTTCCTGTTGGCTTCTGCGCGATAAGCGTTCGCAGTGTGAAGCGGGAAATTTGGATATATACGCGAGTGGAAGAACTACTATCCATATGATACATGAAAAATGTGTATATGATGTGAAAAATTAACGCGAGCAAGAGATTGAAGATGAATGTAAATTTACGATTTTCTGACAAGAAAGTACCAAAGCGAAAATATTTTCTTCATTTGTATTTATGAATTGTATTTACGAATGTTCGAATATAGTTTAGTACATCTTATATCGTCGAATTTATGGAATATGTATCGGAGTATTGAAAGTTTTGTTATCTTCTTAAAATTGCATCATAAAATGTAGTTGTAATATGTGAAGTTGTAATGAGATATGAAAATATTTAATATTTTTCATGGTTACGCGGATGTACGGCGAATGACTGTGATGTCATATGTGGGTTGACAGTGGTATATGTCAGGCCGAAAGTTGGGCGTAGCGCGACGACGAGTGCGAGAAGCGTCATTAGCGTCTGGCGTCTGGCGTCATTGCACTGGTGCCAGCGCACGAGCGCTTGGTTGTTTCGTCTCGCGTCAATTCGTCATATCGATTATCTTCGTTGCCGCCTGTGATAGGATAGTTTTTCCCTTAAAAAATAAACGCACAACAAGAGAAAGAGAGGACACGAGTGAGAATTATATTTCAGCGGGGGACAGCGTCGACTCGATGCGATGTGAAGAAATGTCGACATCTAGTTAAAATTTCATGATTT